ATGAAGGAGAAATGTTTTATGATTAAAAACATTTTTTTAGACAGAATAGATAGATTTTTCATTATGACCTTTTAATATTATATACCCTGATGGCATGAGGATCTAAGCCACTTCAAGCAATCATGCAGCACTACTGGTCTTCCTGTGGCCCAGACAAAATGGATATCAGCCTCAAGTTGCCCACTTAAAATAACAAATGTTACAGAAATATCCTAAACAAATTAGGGCTTGTGAGAGTCCCTCACTGCAGACCTCTGTTTTGTCACCTGTGGGTCTCGACACTTAGCCTGCAGCAAATTGATTGATTGGATTGATTTGACACTGGATCAATAGCACACCACTGAATGAGCACAACGGGACCGAAAGACAAATCCACCGTGGACTAATTAGTTTACCTTAATCTGCACTACAGAGTCAAGTCACTTTCAGGCAAACAACTCAGCTGCTTCTATTTGAAATTATTTTTTATTTGTCACTTTCATAATACACATACATGGGGGCAAAATGCTGCACTCCACAGATCAGAGTGCAGGTCACATTTAAAAACAGCATCATTCATTTCATATAAAAACATAACAAATGTAAAAACAGAGCAGAGTTAAGTGCTTGTGAAATTTCTGCATATCATCCTTTGTTGTTGTTGAAGAGGGGTGGAGGCAGCGTTTGTGTATTCAACAAGTGATTTCTCCTACATGTGGTGGATTTCTTTTCTTTGTCTGAATTTAACTGTTCCAGTCACAGTTACTCTCTCGGCCCTGCAGACAGATAAGATTTAAATAATATCTCAGTGAATGTCTGCTATTCAAAGGGCAGTGTGAGTGTGGTTCAGTGTAATACCACTATGCCGACATGTGGAGGGACAGTGTGAGGGCCTCTGATAGGTGACAAGCTGTTCGCCGCCCACACGTCAAGTCAAGGGTCTCTCCTCTGCTGCTCAAACCTCTGGAGACACACAGGCACTGAATTTCACACCCTGAAGGTTGTTTCTGAAGCAGCACGTCATTGTTTGCCAAAGAACCAAAAGATAAAAGTGAATTAACTTCCTTCTCCTGTGTCTGGCAGCCTACTGGCTAATTTACTTACTGTTGCCAGTCAGAGACCTTAGCAGTTTTTACCCAGTGGGTCAAAGTAATTTACCTTTTGTTCACATACACTCACCCCCAACACCCCCACACTGAGACCTGTCTGTGTTTTATATTTACAAATATCTCTGCTGTCATCATGCTCATTCCCTCTTCATTCCCAGTATTTCCAAATATTTCTAGTATTTAGAATCACAACCAGATTATGTATGTTTTCCACATTCAAGAATGTTGCTTTGGTGTTTGGTAAATGACAAATATGTGAAGTAGGAAAAATAGGGAGAAAGATAAAGTAAAATAAGTAGTGTTTTCCAAGGAGGAAGATAAAGATGGGAACCTGGACAAAAACAATCAGTGAAAAACTTAATACATAAAAAACCAGAGTTTAAAAAACAGACTGTTCAGAAGAATAAGGACATGCTTGTCACAGTTATGGTATTTTGTCCTCTTTTATAAAGAGTGTTTTCAGTTCCAGTTTAAATTGTGTTTTTGTTACGTTTTGAATTCATGTTTTAAATTTGCTCTATGTCCCCTTGGTGTCCCTCGCCTGTGTTCATCTCTGTGTTCCCCTCTATGCTCCAGCCTGTGCTTCTCCTGTGTTCATCCCTGTCATGGTTATTGTATTTTTGTCCTCTTTTATGAGAGTTTTCAGTTCATGTTTCAACAGTGTTTTTGTTACGTTTTGAATTCATGTTTAAAGTTTGTTTTATTTTGTAGTCCCTGCTCCCGGTGTATTTTCCCCATTTGACTTCCTGCCCTCATCATGTTCACCTGTATGTCTTGGCCACCTGTCCCCACTTACTGATTAGTTCAAGTGTGTATTTAAGTCTTGGTGTTTCCCCATGTGGTTGTTGGTTCATCGTCGTCCCTCGTCATGTTCAAGTATCCCGTCGTTTCTCGTCATGTCCGTCATCATTTACCTTGATCATGTCCATGTGTCTCCTTCACCTCTCGCCACGTTCCCCGTAAGTTGTTCATGTCTTTCCCTGTGTTTCCTGAGTGCATCATCATTGCCATTATTTAAGATTCCTTCTGTTACGTTGACCCTTTTAAATAAAGGACACTTTTTGTTAAACAGTATTTAGTTTCTGCGTTTTGGTCCACCTGTCCTAAACTTGACAATGTTGTGATTTTACACATATTCGGAGAGGTGTTAAAAAAAAAATGCTACTCACAATCAGTAATGCAATATGAGAGTAAATCTGCCTCACTATAATTTAAGGATTGGCACATTTTAGAATAAGAGTTTTTATGCATCCTGAATCCTTTAGAATGGATAATAACATTTCATCTCCTGACCGTCCACTGTGATGGCTGCTACTGTGAAGTCACCATGTCACTTGAAACAATGTAAAAACAGAGAGAAAATAAAAACAAGGGTGGGATCCAGAGTGGGACACATATGGAGGGGTAAGGGAAGGGGTGAGAGATGAATGCAGCTTAGACTTAATTGGTATGTAACATGATTAGTTATTATGTCCGCCAGGAGGCCAGTTTGTTTATTGGTTTGTCTTATTTTTTAATATACCGATTTCCATGAGACTTAGTGGAAGGTTGTGGTATGAGTCTTAAATTTGAATGTTGATTTTTTTATTTCTTCACATTATTCCCAGAGAATCAATCCTGCATCTTGATGAAAAAATCAAGCACATTTGGGGAACTGAGATATGAGTGTGTGAAATTTGTTGCAGCTTGATTGGATGTAAAGGGGCTGTTGGGTCTGGGGGAGGTATGTGCTCTACAGAGCGCCACAGTTATTGATATTATAACAGATAGATAATGCAGCTCCGTTTCAGAAACCTGCACAGAAGGCCACTCGTAGTCTTTGAGGAACAATGAGAGTAAATGAATCGTTAATGATCACTTCTTGATTAACTTAAAGTTCTCAAATTTTAAACGTGCTGTTTCTGTACTGCAACAAATTGGCCTACATAGCACTCAACTTGGAACTAATGCACTTAAATTCAGCAAACGTCAATGTAAATGAAGTCTCATTAAGATGTCTTTCATAATATAGTGATGCATTAATCTCCCCTCTGTGTAAGGGTCACAGTTAAATGGTTTTCCACTCTTGTCTTACGCTCAGGGTTTAATGAAGACCTAAAACACGGTGACAGAAATAACTTCCCATATTTTTCTAAAACATATTGTGAAAGGTCGTTAAAGTTTGTCGTTAAAAGAGGGATGAACACGCTGAGAGTTCAAACTGTGCAACCTGTCTTAATGCACACGTGTTCGAAACCCTTAGCTGATCACTTGTACATGTCTGACAATGGGTGAGTTAAGTTGGAAGTGGGTCTAGTAAGGATTTATATGCATGGGGCACAGATTTCTGTTCTACGCAGAAGATTGTTAGTGAATTCAACTTCAGTGAGACAGAAACACTTAGGAAGAAAAGTTGCAGACTATGAACTTTTTCTAACCCTCAGAAGCAAACTGCAGGGAATACATTAGTGCCTGCACAGGCCCCACAGAGCTGCTGTGGTGGGACAGGGAGAGACAGGTGGCTGTGAATAATCATCATGCATAAAGTGACACCTTCCAATATGGCTGATACTCGAAGATGAGGAAGAGGAGGAGGCTGCCGACAGCAGTCATACACACGGCCTCGAGAAAACTGACAATAGCTGAGTCATTATCCCTCTCACAAGATTCTCCAACAGAGAATTAGCAGATGATGTCGTAATCCAGAATTTCTAACATCTATCGTCATCTGTGATCATATGAAGCAGATATTTACACATTTTTCAACAGCATGTCTTAGATGGATGATGTGATATTAGGCTGTCAATCAATGGTTTAGAAGGGAATACTCTGAATCACTGGCAGATTATATCAGAGCTCATATGAGGGCTGATTAAAGAGATTGTGGATATGTTGCAAGTCCTGAGATCATAAAAGCAATGGAAAGCATTAGTCTGCCCAGTGGAGGTTGGCTGCAGGGGCTTTATTGCAACATCCACCATCAGGTTGCTGAGAGAGCTGGGAATCCAAAGTTCAAGGGATATTAACCATCTTTCCCTTTGTTTCAAAATGATATATTTCATACCTTGCTATCATTTGAAATTTGAGTGAGAAACAGTCAACACCCCAGCTTAGCTTTGCTGCCAAATGTATGAGGACAGTCCAAGCTTTATACTCATTTTATTGTTATTCATTCCAAACCCATAAACAGCAATCTGCTCCAATAGTTGACCTATAGTTGCAGGGGTTTGCTCCCACTCAGCTGCAAGAGCATGAGGGAGGTCGAGCACCAGCTGAGGTTCAATTTAATGCCAAAATGTCTTTATAGCTCTATGCAGGAGGGAACTGTCATGATGAAACACAAGAAAAGAAAGAGTCTTCCACAAACTGTAAGAAGGGTGAGGCAAAGTTAGAATGAATCTATATTGTGGTGATAAATTTTATTTGTATAGTGCCAAATCATAATATACATTTTCTCAAGGCACTTTACATAGTAAGGTTGAGACCTTAAAACTTGTAGAGAAACTCCTGACCCTAACCCTAACCCCTTTTAAATGAACAGCATGTGTTTTTCCAGAAACAGTGTTTGTGTTGCTCTTGAAGTTTGGTAGAAAATAGTTCCAGGGAAAAACAAGAGTTAACAATGAAGTTTGGGGCGGCAGATGTTACAAACCAAGATGTCACCAGAGGTTTGTCATAAAAAAGTATAATCTAGTTGGTTTTTAAATTGTGAATTTACAAAAGGCCTTACTGATGTCTGGTTTTCATGATTCATCTGAAGCGTTTACAACCTATAAGGACTCTCAGACATCCTACTTCTGCCCTCTGTTGGTTGTTTGATGAATTACTGAGGAGAAATAAAAACACCACACACAGTAATGTTACTTAAATGTATTTTTTTTTTTTAATCACCTCTTCTTTCAAATGTACCATAGACAAGAGATGCACCATCATCGTCAGACAGCGTTGGATCTCATCTCTCTCGTCGACTTGTCAGAAACCATGGGAAGCATTGACCATCAGACCAGCTTGTTCAGTATTGGAGGTGGGTACAGCATAACATCTAGTGCATTTATTGCATCGTAAAGCAGACATATAAATGATAGTAGTGCAATTATACCCCATCATAACTGAGGAGATATCTTGATAGTCTCAGCTAGTGTCTAGACTTTGTATTGCATACAGAATTTAGGCAAGTTAAACACAATAGGAAATGATACTTGTAAAAAATTGTGCTTTGGCCGTCCAAAGAATAATTCACCTTTTGTAGAAATTTCCTGCGATTCGGCAGATTGATCAGACAGGAGGAGCTGATATTTAGATTTTTTGTTGTTGTTTAGATTTTTAATCCAAAGAAGGTACTGTGCTCTCTATGTTTCGTCGAGAAGAAGTTATGTAGCTCAAACCTGGTCCTTTAGAAATGGATGTGGGTGTCAGTGGAAGCGATCTGTACGGTGGTTCTAAATAACTGCAGTGCATCATTCTCAAAACAGAGGAAAAATACTTATAAACAACATGCTCTCTGGGGCGCTGAATAAAGATTAGTGACTAAAACCGTTCTACTTCCTGCCTGCATTTGTTGTTTCTGTGCAATTTGATAATAATCATAATAATAATAATAATAATATCTGCATATTGAATATACACTATGTACAGTCAAGCTGTGATAATGCATACAGGTGATTGATTATGTGGATTTACTCTAACAAGTGAATGCGATTATGGTCCTAAAAAGCCCTTCTGATGAAACAGGAATACAATATGTCATGCACATACATCGTATCATTTACATGTGTGGTATGCTGTTAGCTGAGCTCTATAGTTTTACATGGTGGAAGCAGATGCAATTGGGATGCGTTTATTTTTGTGAGTAGCGTGAAACATGAAATTGAAGCAAATAGATGTATTAAAGAGATTAATGATGGCTTTGCAAAGTTTGGTAACTTCTGCCAAGACATTAAAATTCTCTCATGATTGAAAAGTGTACATATTCCTGATCTGTGTTTTTGTCTCTTGCTGTTTGTTTGCATACAAGACCTCTAATAATAACATAAATATACAACCAGAGGGCGCTCTCCGTGTCTTTATAAGCCTGCAGTACTGTTTATGCCAAAAGACATTCAATTATTTATCAGTCTTGTGAGGAGTTAACTCTTCTCAGTGTGTCGATGTGCTCAGAGACCGAATGGTCGGGTCAAGCTTTTCCAGTAGTGGAGGGTGGAAATGCAGTGTTGGGAGGTAATAAAGTACATTTACTGTACTTAAACAAGACTCATCCCTAATGATGTAGTAGACTGTTGCATTAAAGACTAAGCCACACTCGGTAAGTTACTTTAAATACTATAATTATATTTTAAAAGCAAGTACTTACTTTTACTCGAGTAGAAAATATAAAACGATGTTGAACTTTTACTTGAGACCATTTTTGTCTATTTATTTGTACTTCTACCTCAGTATTACGTTTGAAAACGTCTCTTACCACAGTGTGTTAAAAGTGAAAAGAGGAGTTTACGGTCCCTCCACTGTTTGACCTACCACTACACCATTGAGTAGAAGTGTAATTATGTCACATCTGATATGGTATCAGCAACAAATAACAAGCTATCGGGAACTCCTTCAGTAAATTATCTCAATGAGGTGTTTTTAAGTTCACTTAGAAAACTGAAGATCAGAATAACATAAGTAATAATTTGTAATAGTGAAGTAACTCAGGACAGATCAGTAGTACCTTCTACTTTAAAACTGAGGAACATGACCTGAAATCTTACATGCGATGTATGTTCATTTCTGGATTAATTCACACATATGCTAAATATGAGCGAATCCCTTGATATCTGTTTATGCAACAACTTATATCTCTGAGTGGATCAAATGTGCCAGAAAGAAGAAATAATACTGAACCTACTCTACAGTATGATCAGTATAACGTGATTGGATTGAATCCCATTTGAAGCTATATATATATATATATATATATGTGACTGTGACAATTTAATTGTATTTTCATTTAAGTTTATCTACTGTATGATTTCCCACCAACCATTTACACACAAACCACAGTTATTGTAAATAATCCTTCCTAAGCCATTCATACATTCACAGCTGTGACAAAAGATGTACGCACACACTGTCGATGTGCATCTCTGTGCTTGTCATGTGTTGGTTTGTTGTGTACAGACAGATATGTAGATAGTGGTATACATAGTTATTGTAAACAAGTAAATGAATAAAGATAATCATTTTGAAAGGCTCCTGGAAAACAATGCGAGAGGTGATTGATAAAGGATGAGACTGACAGAAACAACTGTGCCTTAGAGGAAGCATTTAAAACTGGAGTGACAGCTCACAGAGAACTATAGAGATGGAAGACACATAGAACTGGATTTCTGTAACTTTCTGCTCTTTTTGGTCAGATAGGGAAGTCAGGTTTATACAAAAACCCAGGGAAGCCTAAGTTATTAAACTGTGCATGTTTGTGTTGTGTGTTTTACTGACAGCTCTGCTGTGCTACAGTAACATTTGCTAACATACTCTGACTTCACAGGTGTGCAGTTTGTCTACAGTGTGAGCTGAATCAGCCGATCTGTGTCTGAGACGGCCGCCTCTGGGCGTCTAAACACACATGGGCTAGCTCAGGATGTGACATCCGATGTGAAAGCAGGGAATCTGGAGTAAGGTCGATGTCAGGGTGAGAGGGAGAGTGAGGGGTGAGGGAAGGTGGTGTGCAGGGGCTACACCGCTGTACCGGTTTCTATCACCAGTATGCTTGCAGCTGTAGAAAGCGGCCCTGAGTTGTCACGTGGCAGTGGGAGCAGGGAGCTCTTGCCGAGGGGGCAGCAGTGAGGCGGAGGCTCCTTTGGCACCAGTCAGATCTTCCTCCTCCTCCTCCTCCTCTCCCTGTTCTTGTGACTCTTCTTCCTCCAGATAGCCAACCTTCTCTCTCCCTCTCCAGGGACTCTGCTCCTGTTATTTTCTTTGCCCTACAGGTGTGGCCAGGGAAGGTGGTAGCTGGCTTTGGAGAGGTGAGGGCTGCTGCTGCCCCCTGGTGGCGCCCTGGTCCCTGTGCTCTATGACTTCCTAGTCTTGACCCCCAGCCGACAGCACAGGCTGCTCTTGCAGAGGAACAGGAGGCACGATTAAAAAGAGAAAACACTACCAGTACCAGAACCCAGCAGAAAAAGAAAAGCAAATTTCTTCTCACCTCACTTTGTCGGTGGTAGTGATCATTCTATCAACTCTTGAGTCTCAGAGAACTAGAGGATGGACACAGGAGGCAGAACAGATGTAAATAATAATAATAGCCAAAATGTTCAAAGAGAATCAGTTGAATATCAACCTTACCTGTTGGCTGGAGTTGGCTGAGGGAGGGGTAATCACACTTTGGTCCAGGAGGGGGTTTACAGGGGCAGAACAGGGGAGATGAGTAGCCCGCCAGTAAATTTCCAGGTACTCTGCGAGGTGTTCACAAGCATCATCTAGTTGATTCTCATCCAGGATGACATCAAACATCTCCTGTCACATAAATGAACATGAGAGATAAGAAAGAGAGGTTACACCACTCAGTGTCCTCAAAAGATCTCTGTTGAATTCCAGTGAAGAGTAAAGAATGACATACAGGCGGGCACTGAGCGAGCTTGTCCCCTGCCATCATCTGAACGTTGAGGTGTTTGCTTTGGGACTTCCCTCGAGATTTGATCAGCCTCTGAAGAACCTGTGGGATGAGACAAAGAGAGCGGAGCAGGTAAAACGATTCAAAACCTGAGGGTTATCAAACACAATTTGATTTCCCTCATTATTTTCCTTATTCATTTCTTCTTTTATTTAATTCTATAGAGTGGGAGCATCATGGTTTATCATTTTGATCTGACTGAGATCTGACTTTTTACTCACTATTTTCACTCCACTCTTGTTCAGGACGACTCCCACTGTCTGTATGTTAAGTTTCAAGTAATTTTACTGCAGAAATTTTTGCAAAATCAAATATAAATCGCCAACAATTTTTCATTATGGCATCCATAACATCCACCTATTAAATATTAATGTACAATAATCCATGAGTTTAAAGTAATTTTCTTAGGGCAAGTCAGCCTCATTTTTTATTATGGCATCCATTACTTGCTCCTATTAAATATTATAAAAACCAGATTCATACTCACTACATTCACTGTGACCTTCGACCCTTGACCACTGAAAGATAATCACTTTACCTGAAAATCTTAGTCCAATTGAAAACTGATCAAAAGGAAGAGAGAATTTTCCTAAAGGCATTCTTAAGTTCACAGGAATGGGACGGACTGACGGATGGAAGGACAACCCAAGAACATAATGCTTTTTCCACTTAACTAAACAACCAAAATGTTAAAGCAGATGTCAAAATAGTTGTTGATTAATTAATTATAATTGATTATCCCACTCTTTTACCTCTCAATTCAATAATTATGAGCAACCATATTGACAAAAACATTGAATGATTGTTCTAGCAGAGTTGATGTGTATTGTGCTCTACTTTAGGCGAGGACACTTTGACGTAGACAACGATGGGAGCCAGAGAAGTCTTGAGAAGCTGCGCTGGGTGGTTGATGGTGTCTGCATCCAGGACGACCAGCTGAAGAGACTTGGCGAGCTCGAAGATCCTCTCTATCTCACTCTGGACCTCCGCTGTGAACACACCAAAGAAAGAGAGGGAGACACGTTCAGCAGAGCAACATCAATGAGTTTATCGCAGAGGAGGCATCTATTCTTAGCAGGTATTAATCTTTATTTAGGAAGAAAGGATCAAAGACTCGCCGCTCACCGAGACTGGAGCGCGTGTTGGATCTCTCCATTATGGCCTTCTTGTTCAGCACTGATCGCTTCGCCAGAGACAAATCAGCAGTCACCCGTGTAATAGAGATCCTAAAGACGAAGTGTCGTATCACATCACATCCACAACTGTTCCATTTCAAAGGAGGAGATGAAGTTGTTCTAAAAATAAATCACCATCATCATCATGTGTCCTATCGACCATGAGAATGTGATAGGCAGAATCTGCACAAGCAGCTCAAGCGGCTCAATCGCAGAATTACTGTACTCCGAGCTGCAGAAAGCAACACACACAGCGTTACCCACCTGCCATCGAATCTGTGCTTCAGGAAGTCAAACAAGGCTTTCTGCATCATGTCTGTCACCTGGGTAAAACACAGAAGAATGAAGAGACACTTAGCCCCGTATTGATGGACGACACGTCTCCACTTCCTCCAACTGGACCATCTGTGCAGCAGAGATCAGAGGATGGAGCCGAGGTCCCGCCGATACGTGCACAGTCCTAATTATGTTTCACACCATTTTATATCATCAAATAACAAATTAAAACCAAACTTATGTTCAAATGTACCGCTTGAATATACATCAGTGTAATAAGAACTAACTAAATTGAGAGAAACCATCTTAACCTGTACTTTGACTTTTGTTTTTGTCTGTGTCCCAACCATTAACATGGAGAAGGTGGGAGTTATCACCTAAGATACAGCCAGCCACCAGATGGTGATCAAGACACTTTGGCTTCACTTTTGGGGAGCAGTCATTTTTTACAGTCTATGATATAAACATTTAATGAATGTTTTTTTTTGAACACATTACATAAGCTCAGGAACTTGTCCTCTGAAGATATATTTTATTGAAAAGCACTGGATAACCTCCTCTACCTTCTGACCCACAGCTGCCAAATACATAATGATTCATATATTTACTAGATTTTTGCTTTTTACCAGGCTTAGTACAAACTTTCACATCCCTCATAGTTATCTTATCATTGTTTACATACTGCTCATAAAAGAGAGAGAAAGTACTGGCTTGACTTTCAAATGCTGTACAGAACTATACTGTAGATTGCGTATTATCTCTTTTACAAGAGCGACCAAAGAAAGGGCACCAGAACCTTTCTTCACATTTAGCACAGTATAACAGGACTGAGAAGTAAACGTATCCTTTCAGTTTCAATGTTGGCATCATAATGGATAACTCAGATACAGTTAGAGTGCATGTGTTTGCTTGTATGTTGTTTGCATGAACACTGTGAGGACGAAGTGAATCTGTCTAATTTCAAACAGTCCTGAAAAATGAATGGCCTTCGCAGTAGGGGATGAAGCGCACAGCGGTGTTGCTGTTCCACCGTAGAACAGAGAGAAACAGAGAAAGGGGGAAGATAGTGATGAAGAGTGAGAGAACATATTCAAGAACAATAGTGAGCGACTGAAGGCAAAAAATGAACGAGAGAGACAAAGAAGAGGGAGAGAGAATGAGAGGGAAAGAGAGAGGGAGGCAGGCTGGTTCGCCACAGGAGCATCCCCAAAGCACATCAACAGAGCGATACATGAATATTTCACACACACACACACACACACACACAGCTTGGCACGCAGCCTGCACAGTCACAGAGGAGAGAGTGAGGCAGAGAGAGAGAAAATGTTGAAGACATTCTGTTCAATTACACGCCTCACATTTCAACACGTTCATTTCAAGATTCATTGGAAACAGACATCGTCCAAGATGAATCGAGTTTAAGTGCAATGTGCTTTCATACACTTTATCCTATATGCGTCACATATAACGGGGCAGACTGGCTGTTCTGAATCACTCAGACTGGATCTAAGATTCCTGTTGTGTGTGTGTGTGTGCTATAATGTCATTAGGATCTGACTGGTGTTTAGTATCAGCTTTAATGGGATAATCGTGGCCGGAGTGGTTCCCTTTAGATTAAGCCACGCAAGTCCACCACTGGACCAGAAAATCCAATCCAGATTAAACTGGAACAAACGAGACAATCCAAGAAAACAGACACGACTGAAATGACGAAGGCGAGTGTTTTCCAGTGACTCAAATCAAAGTGCAGAGAATGTTTTTTTAATGATGAAAATCATTCCAGTAAGGGTTCGAGACATGATTCAGAATTGAGAGGTTGTCAAGGGGGACACATTTTTTCTCATTTTTGTTTAAAGGTTCAGTGTGTAGAATTTAGTGACATCTAGTGGTGAAGCTGCATGTTGCAGCTGAATACGCCTCACCTCACCTTCCCCTTCCAAATATGAAGCCAGCACAAGATGCATATATGATAACATCCAGGTAATCATTCCAAACACAAAACAGCACCAACTTAATATAGAGAAGTAAAGCTGTCATCTCACCTCATATCCTTTCAGTGAAGGGCCCACCAGCACCACTGGCCGCATAGAAGGAACCACATCATATGGAGGTAGATGCTCAGTCTACACAGACCACAAACAGACAGGGTTTGCATGTAGAATATATAGAATAGAATCATGTTGAAGTGAATTGACAGTAAAGAATGTCTACTATTCACTCTTCATGTCACTCGCCATGTACCGAGCCATTAATGTTGAACTTTCCTTCACAGTGTTCTTAAAAATATTGTAAAAATGGAAAGTGATGCACAGAGGAAAAGGCAAACTGACAAACGCACCTGTTTCTGCTTCTGTTTGGCTTCAGAATAAACATAACGAACATTAGGCGAGAAGGAGAAAAGCTAATGAGATGCTCTGGCAATAAATCATTGCTTCAGCAGAAAGTATCTGAGTTTTGAAGTCCAACAAAAGTGCATTAAAAATGAAAACATGCATGCCATGCAGTGCGAAGAAACTATACATTTGTATTGTGGCCCTGCACAAGATAGAATTGTCTGTAAACATGGGATCTTAATTCAATGGTTTCTCACCCAAGATTTTGTTTTCTGTAGCAGGCAGTGTGCTGACACACATTACTTTCTAAAGGGAGCATTTTTGCCCAGGAACAGTCCCTGTAAATCTAACCCAGTGAGAGCATGCAGTCCCAGTGGAGGCAGAACAGACAGACACAGCAGCAGGACTCCTCCAGTCTCACTTATACCTGCAGATGGCGGCGTGGACCTCCAGCCTCCCGATGAAGCGTTCCCTCCTTTCCTGTAGAGCAACATAATGCAAAGCATCATTATGCGCAAATCCCCTCAGGAGACAATTTAGAGAGGACTTGGAAAACAGAGCAACACATGAGCAAGAACTTGTTATGCACCGAAAGGAAGTTTTCAAAGAGTGTGCTAGACAGAAAGCTGGAAGAATTAGGCCAACAGAGAGACAGACAGCCAGAGAGAAGTCTGGATCTCTCAGAGCGGCGTGACCTCTGACCTTGCTGCTGCTTTCTGCTCTTGTTTAATCCTCATGGCTTCCAGTTTGACTGGGCTCGGGATGAAAGTGATGTCTGCCCCTTCCTTCACCAGCCGACCGATCCACCAATCATTGTTGTATTTCTGCAAGACAGCGAAACACTTCTTATGCAACTGAAGTTGTGCTGCAAACATGACATGGATCACAGTCTCTATGTGAGAGTGGCAGTGACAATGATGTCTTGTTTCTGAAGACCTCTCACCTCTTTTATGTGCAGAAAGTCGTTGGTTTCAAAGTTAATAGCAGCACCTTGGACTGGACTATCTTCATCGAGGGTTCCACAGTAACTCACATTGGTTTTCACTGCAAAAGCTACTGGTTTAGGCTGTTGAAAGGCAAAATACATGAATGAGATACATAAGAATCATAACATATGAATTTAAGAGCAAACTTTGACCTTTGACCCCTGTGCTCTCACCTTGGCTCTCTCCAGCTGCAACTGAGTCTGGCGCTCGGCTTCACGCCGAGACGCCTCCTGGTCCTCCTCCAGGGACAGGTCGGAATCAGAGGGTCGACTAGTGTAGGAATCGGCTGAACCCTGGAAGAGAGGAGGAGAGGAGATTTAAGACGAGTTGAATCCTTCTCTATACAGTACGTAACACCTTGTTTCGCGGCTGTTCAGCATAACTGTTGAAACTGTTGAGTTTAAGCAAATGGCGTTGATGGAGCTCCAAACAAACCACCTGCTACATCTCCCTCTGTGTCCCCCATGTCGTTCTCCTCATTTAACCTCTCTAAACCTGCCGGTCCTTTTCCTGAAGTCATGTGATCTCATCTGCAAGTCACTGCAGCTTTCCAAAGCAGCCCTCTCAGGGGAAGGTGTGCGTGAGCACTATAACAACACCAACAACCAGAGGAGTCCTACTCATCCACTTAGCCAGTTTTAGATGTTGGCCCAGAGTCTTCAAGGAGAATAAACTGAGATGTAAAAAACTACTGATAATACAAGATGATCCTGTATAATCCAGCTTTCAATCAATTTCAATAAAGTGCAGATTAGTCTGTATCAACAAACATGGTGGTGCAAGTTGTGTCACAACCCAATTTTAATTACAGGCTACAGCTTGAGTTTGAAGTTTGTTCAAAATTGTGAAATTTATATCTAAATTTAAAAAATGTGAATCCATTTATTTGAAATTGAAAACATTTTCTAAATCAGCCTCAGAGTTTCAGTTGCCCAGACATTAGCAGAGTTTTGTGACAGAAACCAGAGAGCATTATTATTATATTACTGTTAGAATAGAACTTTGTTTGTGGCAGTCATCTGGTGTCAAAGCACAATTATCATTAAGTAGATTATCTTTTCCTCAGTGGGTGTACTTTTAAGCTGGGACTTTAAAAACTTTGAAAGTAAGAAGTAAGTAAATAAGGAAACACATGCAGATTTTTCCAAAATTCTGTTGCAAATCATACAAATAGCAACTCTATATCAACTGTTTTTTGGGGATCTTATAACACAATTTTACTCCTAAGAAAGAAATGAGCAAAAGACAAGAACATCGAAAAAACAAAGCAATAAAGCTGTTTTTTGTTAATCTCTGTGATGGAAAATGATACAAAGTAATCGGAGCGCACATACAGTCCCCCCTCAGCATCTTTACATTGATAATATCCTCACATGTGGCACACATGTTTCCCAGTCATGTGCAGGTAAACTTCACCAGATCCTCCATTTATCCTCTCACTCCATCAGCAGCCTGCTTCCCCCCAGTGGCTGAAGCCCCAACAGAGAGGTGGAGGGAACTGGAAGTCTCCTCACATACACCAGGCAGGAGCACCCACATAAGAAAGCCAAATATAGCTCCATAACAACGTCATCCCTCTTTTACCTTTTTTTTTTGTACCCCTCCTCCACCTGTCTCCTCCTCCCCCCTCCCGACCAGCTCAGTCTCTTCTTTGCTATTTCCCCTGACTTCCAAGTGAGCTGTTTTAGCTGAATCCAGTGCAGAGAGTGTTGATATCATTTAAATATCAAAGCCTGTCGGAGCTGGAGCAGAATATGAAGAGTCTAGTAGAAGAAATAAAACCTAATTAAAGCACATATAGAGGCCTGCACATGGATGGGAAGGACTGTTATTCTGATGAACAGGTTTTGGTCTCTTCAGCACAAAATATGCACATGTTGCATTCACCTATACTGATTGCACTTTTATATTGTTTAGACTTGATTTGTGAAAATGACCTTGCACATATTAAAAATACTAAAATGCATCCAGTCAAACATTAGACACACTAGTCCCTTTTCCTCCGTCACTGCCAGCCTCACACTGATCTGATTAAATCTGCATGGATTCCTCCTGAGCTTCAAAATGCAAAATAGACTGATTGTTGGAGTCATGCAAAATGTTGAGGACAGATGCAAAGATATAAGGTGACAATAGTCTCAGAGTCATTTCCACTGCAACAACATTGGCATCATCAGACTAATGCACTGTACATTAAGATGATCCCAGTTCACACAATGACAGGATTTGAGTGTTTAACACAGGAAGTCTGTTTGGATTAATTTAGAGGTTTTTATGTTTCATTCAGTTATGGAATTGTCAAAAATGGCACAAGCACTTGGTTTGGTCTCGGTGCTGCTTGGTTTACTTCCATGTTTTCCTCGTCACTGCTTCATAACTGTGTCATGAGTGACTGATATTCACATATTACAACCTATCACAATGCAGATGATGATCACCACAGTATGACATTTCTTTCAAGTACTATGGTACACAGTATGACAGTACATGTAAATGTCCAGAATCCACATTTATTACTATTATACTATAGTAGTACTCAATCGATTTTCGTGAAATTGTGTGGAGGGGTCAATGACCCAAGGTATTTTCACTTTCTTTAACATTGCAAAATATGTTTTTAGTGATTTCTCAGAGAATATTCATGAATCTCGGGGAAAAAATCTAATTTGTTTAGAGGACTGATATAAGTGTGTGCAGTTTGGTGCTGATCCAAATAAAAATCCAGATACAGTCAATTTAAATATGGTTTTGTGTGTTTTCTGACTGTCTTGTCTTTTAAAAACGCAAACGCCCACTGACAGCACAGTCACAGTCTTTGTAAAAATGTGGAAACAAATGGCACAAAGGAGGATAACAACAAACCCTTCACATACTGGAAGTCCTATTAGAGACTGAAACATGAGATTATGACGCTGCAGCAGTTGTGGATTTTCACCAGCAGAGGGAAACATGCACATTACAAAGAACTTGGTGAACCAATGGTGAAAAACACTTTCTTTATAGTTCATGATTCAGTGACTAGTGGTTGGTTTATACTTAATCTTAATTTTTGAGTTAGTGACCAATATGACAATGACAATTAACACAATCCCTGTGAATTGGTTGTGTATGTTTGTGAATATAAATATACATATTATTTATGGTATTGGATCTGTTTTAAAAAAGTAGTCATTGGTCTTTGCATTTTGGGAATTGCACGGTGGACTCTGTGTGGCTGTTGCACACAAAGTAACATCATGAAACTGACATAAGCAAAAGCAGAGGCACAAGTATGGGCTCAACTCCAATATTTGAAGGCGGGGATGACTTCACAAAAAAGACGGGAGACCAAAACAGACAGAAATCACAGGATCAAAACCATGGTGCTCAACAGATGGGCCTCAAGTTCAAAGCAGAGCTGAAAAAGTTAGATGGATTTGAAAAACTATATGTGCACAGTACAGCATGTCCAGATGAGGAGAAGAGAGGGGAGAAGAAGAAGTGGTGGTGGGGGGAGGAGGAGGATGCTGCTGGCAGGGTGAGGGAGACTTCTGCTGAGGGGGGGGGGGGAGACAATGAGCAGAAAGACGACGTCTGCGAGCTGACAGACCGACTCGAGGATGAACAGGTTGAGTTTGCATGCGGGTTGATTAAACAGAAAAGTGGAGCATCACCAGCGTACCTTGTTACAGATGAGTCCTGTGGCACTCGAGTCGGAGGCAGACATGCTTCTGCTGCCAGTGCTCTCCCCTCCCACCCCCCCATTGCACACAGAAAAGGCGGAACCCTCCTCCCCCCCTGCCCGTGGTCACAGGGGGGAGAGAGAGAAGGGGAGAGAGAGAGAGAGGCGCGCTCAGCCTAAGTGCTTCACAGCTGACGTTGCTGCGTTGCTTCAACAGCCATTTCCTATACAAAATTGATGCCCTGACTGCAGCATCGGTGTGTGTACACACCCGTATATACTGGTACAGTCTGATGGGTTTCTCCAGCTTCATGCCAGCTATCATGTAAGAGAAGGAGCATCCATCTGGTTTCATCCTCTTCTCATCCTCAGCCTTATCCTCTCCTCTCTTCATCCTCATTCTCTCCTCTCCTCTTCTCTCTTTGTCCTCTCCACATCCTCATCCTCTCCTCTCTTGCATCACAACCATGCAACTTTCCATCTCATGTCAAAAAACCACTTTGAGAAATCCTGACAAAGTTGGAAGTAGAATCAACCAGTTCGGTGGACATGTTTGTCTGGTGTTTCTCTCAGTCTGCAGAGCATCAGTTTTCACTGGGCGCAGATAGAACTTCTAAAAATATGCCCGAACAAAGACTGAGCCGTTATGTAAGCCATTCTAAGCGTTAATAATAATAACCAAGCAAGGACAAGATGAGGGACAACTGAATCGGCCAATTGATGATTTTTGGGGACAGACAGTCAACAACACAGAGCATGAACAGTTAGCAGATGATGAGGAGACAAACAGAGAGGTGGCGAAGAATGAAGAGATGAAGAGGAATAGAGGAGGGCAGGGCTGTGCCCGCCTGCCTGTCTGCCCTGCACCATCCCTCTGACAGGAAGGTGATGCATGAGCCTACAGAACAGAGATGCAGTGGTGAGTCAGCAAGCAGCCATCAAGTGTCCATCAGATGTCTTAATAAGCCAGGAGAGAGGCCTCCACTCCACTGCTGGAGATGGCCTCTCTGTTCATGGCTGCTCTCCAGGTCGCCCCAGGCACTGAGGACCCTACTTTTGGTGACTATTATGCTGGCAACATGTCCTCTCTCACCCTCACTCAACTGTGGCTGCTTAAGAATTAAGTGCACTCCATCAGGGCTTTTAGAAAAAAATGTCTTGGGGCTATATTTCTGCGTGGCTTTTTAAAAAGAGAGGGAAGCAGGCAGGCAAGCGTACACACACACACACACACACACACACACACACACACAAATTATTGTCGTTAGAGAAACTCGCTCCCTCGGATGCCTCTGGAACAGAAGATAGGGTAACTATTTTCATCATTAGCGTTGCACATGAAACAGCCATTGAGCAACACAGCCTTTCAAACAGTGGGGCGTTCAGAGATGGGGAGGGGGTGAAAACAGAAGAAACATAAAGAGAGATAGAAAACAGAAAGGGGGGGAGGATAAAATCCTGTAAAGCAAATTTGAGTAATGGAACAGAACTTAGGAAATGGAAAGGAATTTTTGTACATATAAAAATAAAAGGTTATGTCGTTTGTCTGCTCCGTCTCAACTCTGCAGAAAAGCAAGGAAAGGTTGGATAAAGGGACAAATAAGAAAGATGGCTGGAGAAATGTTAGCACCAGAGATTATTAGCACAAGCTTGAATTTTTTGTTACACTTCTGCTGTTCAGTCTAAATATAACTTCTCCTTTCCTCTCCTCTCCTTTCCTCCTCTCCTCTCCTTTCCTCTCCTCTTTCCTCCTCTCCTCCTCTCCTCTCAGGCTGGGGTTGACAGTTAAGGAGAGGATATTTGAGGATTGTCAAACTTCACAGAGTTTTGATGAATTCCCTCCAGAAAGAGCGAAGCAGATCTGAGACTGGCTCAGCTATATTCACTGATGCCACACAGCCCATCTGAATATGAACTAAGTGTCTGTGTGGAGAACAAGAGCAGACAGCAATTGTCTCTGCTTTAGTCTCCAGCCTGTAAACACTGACGCTGCAGCGATGGAGGATTCATCTCTTTCCTTCCATCCAAAGCAATAATATCACATACAGCGTTCAATCCTCCTGGTGGTGCAGGCATTTTAATAAAGTTTATTTCGTTTTTCACCCAGACCTTAACAATCAAAGAGAAACACAAAGACAAAAACTTGTGCGAGATGGGTGTGGACAGTCGTGGAAACGTCTCACAAAGGAATTTAAAAACTTGATGCAATATGTCAGCTGTTCTATATTTAGAGCAGTGACACATGCTAATTCTCATCATGGCACGGCTATTTTTATAACGACTGCTGATGCTCACCTGGGTGTGGATAACAAACAAGTCTTGTTACCTTCGCCAAGGAGGTCACGGTTTCACCTCCCGGACAATTCATTTGTTGGCGGGTTTGTTTGTTTGTTTGCAGGATTATGCAAAGACTGGTGGACAGATCACTACACAATGATTCAATATGGGTCAGGGAAAAATTCATTGGATTTCAGTGTGTATTCTGATATTTTTCAACATTTTTGTAGATTTTTCAGAGAATCATTTATGACTCTTGAGGAAAAGAAAAATCAGGCATACTTATGCCACTGACCTATCGGGCATTGGTGGAATCATGGCCTCTACTCAGTGCCTCAGTTTTCAGTTTTTTTAAATCATTTTCTTTTTTTATACAAAAAAGGTGAATTTCACAAGAGTTAAGCTATTTGATGCAGATCTAAATAAAAATCAGGATCCTGTGAATTTAAATGTGGTTTTATAAAGTGACGTTGGGCCTTGGTGGAGGTAAAATGTATCTTTTAGACAAATTCACTCTGCCTCAAATTAATGAATTAAAGGGGACTATTGAGCCTTGTTTGGGCAATGACATTCTACTATTTTATGTTTTTCTAAAACAATCTTATTTTTAATCCCAAAAAAATTCTCCTGAGTTAAGCATAATGAGTCTTTCAGTAGCTGCATGACAGTGTTTGATACTTGCAAGCAACTGAGCAGCTCTGAAACCAACTGGGAGCAAATAAGGCAGAGTTGTACCAACATATCTAGAGATTTGAGCATAAAACCTTTGGAGTCACCTGCTCATGTCTCATTAGCCTGTGTGTGTGTTCAGTGGGAGCTGAGGCAGCATTCCAGGCAGAGGTGGATCATCGAGAATCAGAGAGAGGTCTCCTGACAGTGCAACCAGAGTAGGGCAGAGTGGATCAATAGGAGAGCCACCCAGATTGATACTCCATCCTGTCCTGAGCAGCTCCAACCTCCTCCTGCTCTAATGTTACCCCAGCGTACTTCTTCTGCCTGTAATGAGCCCTTAGCAAATCCTATAAATAAGCACTTCCAAGTCGTTCCAAGACAACTGCTTTCTCACCACAGCAACAGCAGTGTGGAGATTTAAAAAGAGGGGGCATCTTGTATGAGCCAACAGCGAAGAGGAATGCTACTGATGCAATGAGGACAATGTGATGACGTGAATAGTCGAAGAGAGGGGTCAACAATAATGATGGCATACAGGGGAGGATGAGGAGCAGGGGCAGCAAACCTGCAGTCGGTGATCTCCATCTTTCCTCCAAACTATCTCCTTGGTCTGGTGATGCGCTGTGGATAGTTATAGGCTTTCATCCCACCAGGGATCCTTCAACCTGACTTCACCAAACTGCTTCAAAGTGCAGAGAGGCTGGAGCTAACCCACATAACGCTGTGTGTGTACCAACAGTGCAGCACGGAGTGGCACAGCGCTGCTGCATCCTTCATTAAATCAGATGTTTGTCGGAAGATGACCTGATTTAGGCTCTATAGGTTTGAGTTAGGCCTAATTGGTGCATCTTGACTAGTGGGCTGCAGAGCAAACAAAGGGAATGATAGATTTATTAATATGTAATGCTTTACATTGAAGAGGCAGACATTTGTTTTAGTTTTGGGTTTTAAGAACTCAGTCACGACATTGAGAGTTTATCAACAATACTACAGTTATCAGATGATACAGTCAAGAGAGGCAGCAGATGGAGATTTCCTGGAGAACATACATGTCATAAGAAGAAATTAGAGCACACACTTCTTTACATTCTGACCTTCTCGTCTTTGATAAGTAAACCACGATAAAGAAAAGCAGCGTTTCTCTACAGGAACACAAGAGAAGCAAGAACTGGAATCTTTGGCCCTCTCAACATTGCTGGTTCATCAAATTCAATCAAGGCATTGCACACTGATGCACCAACACACACATGCACGAACACACACTGTAATACACACACACACACACACACACACACACAATGCACTTCTCTCCTCGCGGGACAGGCTTTTAGTGCTCTGTCTCATGCAGTATTTAATTGACCCCATACAGGAAGCCCAGCAGTCCCAAATGCATTCCTTCCCCCCACCAGCAGAGAAAGCATGAATGCCTGCGAGTACATACCCACAGCTTCCCCACCACCACCACCACCGCTCCTCCGTGAGCACGACGGCACTAAATGCCCTTTTCTGCTTTGGTGCAACTCAAAGAGTTTTCCACAGAAATGCCAAGCGCTGACGATGAGGAGTTTGGATGCACATCGGATTTGTTCAAAAATGAAAAATTCTCACACACATCAACACGATCTCTCAAACTTTCAGTCAAACAGGAGCAGAGGTGCAAGATTCTTTAAAGTGCATCCGCCCATGTGTCATCCCGTCATTCTACAGCATGCACTGATCTACTGGAGGGGTTCCACCGGCTATCAATGCAGTTTGCAGGGAGGAGATCAGATGCAGAAGAGATAGCGATGTACTCACTCGGTTGGAGGTAGGAGAGCACACTCCCTCTCTCTCGCTCGCTCCCTCTGCTAGTCAGTCATGGTGTGCTCTCTCTCTCGGGTAACACTGAAGTGTACTGTAGCGTGCTTGTAAGCAGTCTACCCCTCTCTCTTTCTCTACACCCCCCCCCCCCATTCTCCACCACTCTCTGTACTCAAGCCTTTGCTACGTCAGACAGGCTCTCTCTCCGCTCCGCACATCATGCTTCCCACCCTCTCTCTCTCCTCCTCTCCTCCTCTCCTCCTTCCTCCCTACCTCGCCCGTCCGATGGGACTGTGTATCGCCAGC